CATTTTACCCGATAATATAAACATTTATGCAACTACTGCTGCCAACTCTGTGGAATCAAGCTATTCATGTTATTATGACCCTAAGATTGGTACTCCTCTTGGTGATCAGTTTTCAGTTGCATGGCTTGAAGACTCTGACTCTCATGACTTAACCAAAGAAACTTTGGCAAAACAATTCCAAGATGTCGTGAAACAAACTACAATGTCACATCCACAACAATTTGGTCAAAAGTCTTTGGCTAGTCTAGAAGTTGGTCAATTCCAGGGTGAAAAGAGTAAGAGTAAGATTCACATTCCAAAGAGACATTCGAGAGATTTGATAAACGCTAGAGATGTACCTTTAGTGATACTTAGACGTAAAATAGACCGTACAAATGATGCTGCTGAGGCTGCTGTTCTAGAAAAGAGATTCGAAACTTTGATTGCTGGTCGACGATTCCTTGAATCAAGTATTAAAAAGATCGTCTCTCAGCTTTGTTCCTATGGTTATTGCTCAGATGTAAAAAGAGTCATGTCAACTCGACAACCATTGATTAATCATTCAACATACTCAAAAGTAGCTGAAAAGTTTCAATCAAGTTGCCTTAACTTGGGTGTTCACACTCATGGAATGAAATTCATGTATGTTTTTGCCAATCTTGTTGAATCAAACAACTTCACTCAGTCAACATTGGACCTTTTCTTGGAAGATTTGGAGAGAGCTTGCAATAATCACATTGTTAATCATGGATTCGAAGCTATTATTTAAGTTAATATAGTTCAAATCTACCGATCGTAAGACTAACTAACTTAAAGGTATTTGTTATCATCATTGGTAAAAATAAATATCAAAATGATTAAATGTAACCTTCAATTTCTTTGTCTAAGCAATAAATATTAATTTAATATTCCAATTACTCAATGCAGTCAAAAAGCCAATAGCCAACTTGGCCCGAATTCGAGAATAGATTTATTTTATTGTATTTATTGAAAAGAAACTAACTTTCAGTCTTGATCGAAGCAGGTTCTAGTTTAATGTGTCTTAATCAGAGGTAAGTGTCTTAATCAAAGTCTTAATTCAAAATAAGGTTTGGGTCATCCAATAAGCAGTACTTAAAATCGTGGTTAACAGGAATATTCAGTGTCCTCGTTGCATTGAATGTCATCAGCTTGGTCGATTCAGCAGTTACACTTAGGAATCAGGAATTGTTTTCATCTTATCCTCCTTGTGATCGATAGAGTGATGTTTGTGGCAATCATCCAACAGTTGTAAGTTGTTCTTAACATTGGTTTTATTGCTCTCAAATTGGATTCTGCATTGAATTTGTAGTCGTAATTCTTGGAATAAATACTGTTGAGCTGGAGAGTTCTTCATTTGCTTTAGATTTTAAAGCTTAAGCATATGAAGCACTCAACAGCACTGCAGATTAGCACAACACCAAAGAAAACGGCTTTCGTTATCGGCAAGTATCTTTATGTTTGTGGAATGTTATAAGCAACAACTCTAACCAAAAGTGCGAATACCCGAACAAGATTCAGATGGTTTTCTGCGACAGAATGTTGAGTTTTTTGTTCGCTCAGACTAATTAATGTCAGCTTTGATTAATCAAAGTTAAAAATCCATATCATCCATCCATATCAATGCTAAAAACTATGTGTCTTGGTTGGTAAAAAGATTTAAATTGAATAAATGGTTTGGATAGTTTAGTGGACCTGAAACATGTACAATGAATGGATGTCTCATCTAATACCAATCCAATATAATACAAAACTTTCTTGATTGAAACATTCAATGCATGAATTTATTATAACAAATGATAAAATATTATGCAGAAACAATGTACTCAGCTTCATGCATAATGGCTGATTGTGATCTTTATTATCGTGTTATGATTAAATAGGTATGTGTGACTATCAACACTTTGAATGTAAATATTTATTATTTATAATAAAGTTCAGGGCAAAAGCTTTGAGAAAATTTAAACTTGCGACAGTTCACTGATTGAAAGGGCGCATAAATTGACAATTTTTTTGAAATTTGAATCGAAGAAAACAAATGATAATTCTGAATCTGCATTTGGCCGATTCTGGTTAATGGAAAGATACAACAAGCCACACAATTTTGATGCCATTTGATTTTGACTGTGAAGGGTAGAGTTGCCCAAAATCATTCCAATCATAATCATTTGATAAAAATCATTTAATTATTTAATCTTTAATTTTCATTTTGTTTAGCTTGTAAGCTTATCATTGGGTAAAACATAAAAATTGGTTTTGTAAATTTTGTAATAATCCCTAACAATGACATCATAAGATTGTTTACTGTTGTCACAGTGATAATTGGTCAGAGCTTCTAAGCTTACATAACTATTCCTTTTCCTTTTTCTTTTGTTCTTTTCCTTCCGTTTAAAAACGTATATAATGGGTTTCTTCAATTGGGTTTAATTGTCTTTGATTTGTCTTTTTTGATCAATGTTTTACAGTGAAAATATCCTAGTTTTTAATATTGTCAACAACAGAATCGAAATATCTGAATCTAAAATATAAGTGTTTTCTAAGTTTTCTATTAAGTTGGTTTATAAACCATTTTCATCTTCATCTTAATTTTCTATTGGGTTTAAATTTTGGTGTTAATAAATATCTTTAAGTTTTCTTTAAATTTCGATTGTGCTCTTAATTGTGCTTCCTAAGACTCTAGTCTATTTGTGCCTAATTGATTCTGGTCAATGCTCGAGATTACAGCTATTGAATTGTGTGCTATTCTTCTGATTATAATCATTGAGTTCAACTTCTCGGTTTTTAGCTGTTTTTGGTTAGAGTTTGGAAACTCATTTCAACTCTAAATTCATCTTCTGCT